TGTCCATCATGTGTCATGCAGTGCCATTGGAGAACAGAAAAGGGCATCGGATCCCCTGGAACTGGAGTTACAGATGGTTGATAGCTATCATGTGGGTGCTAGGATTCAAACCCAGGTCCTCTGCAAAAACAGCCAGTGCTCTTAACCACTGAGCCATCTCTCTAGCCCCAGAACTGAATTTTCAAGTGAACTTAATTTTGAATAATTGAAGTTAGACATTAAATTCCTACATGTTGCTAATAGTTCCTAAATTGGGCAGTGCATATTTAGTCATAGCTTGGGATTTTTACTACTGCTACTGACCTTAGCAGGGTTAATCTCTGAAACAGAAGCAATTACAGCAGTATCAGACACTATGAGTATAGAATCAGGAAAATTAGAATAGGGTTTTTCAGTTTTCAATTTAACCGTAGGTCAGAACTACAGACAGTCTTTCTACATGCCCTTCCACACAGTTGGAGTGATGTGGAGAGTCCTTCTGTTTCATCATGTTAAGGCCCCACCTGGATGGGCTCTTGTTTGAAGAAGACAGCACAGGGGAGGAGACTGGCCTGATGGGAGATGACATCCCGGCAGACAAGTTGGGGGATCCAGCTGTGGTCAGAGAGTGGGCTCTTCTGGAATGGAGGGGGTTAGGAGAGTTAGTGGTAGCGTTCACCTCTGTGAGGATGAAAGAGAGAAAAGAGGCAATGATTTAGATTGTACTTTCTATTAGAAATCAGCAAAGACAATCTATGTGATTGATTTCTGTGTAAGAAGCATCCAAATACTTTGATGGGTGGGCTAATCTGATAGATTCTCAGCTGGCTACACTTTAGGATCATCTGGGAGCTTAAGAAAATACACAGATGCTCAAATCCTTGGCAAAGATATATAAATCACTTGGTCATGAGTGTGGCCAGAACATGCAAATATATTTTCAAAAACTCTAACATCCAGTCAGTTGTACTTTATATAATAGCAAGCTAATGAGGATCTTCTTCCAAGTACACTGTGCTTTTAGAGGTGCCTTTCAGGCTTCAAATCTCATTGAGACAGTTTTT